GGGGCGTGGGGGGGGGCTTGCCACGTCCGTCCGATGGGGCTTTGTTTGTAGAGGGGCGTTGTGGTGGTCTAGCTGGTTGTCGGTGTAGTCGGTTCGACGTAGCTGTTTATATACCGCGTGTATGCGTATAATGGAAGCCATTATGAGAATGACACCTTAAAAAAAAAAAAAACGTCAACGTGTGCGATTGCATTTTTTGTCGCATCCGCTGTCTTTTCATGTTCCTCTAACCCATATCCCTGTTTGTCTTCTGCGTATGATGTTCGAGAGTTCGTCGTCCAGTTATTGCATGCGTTTTTGAAGTTGTTATGGATAAATTGTGAATGTCCTGTGTGATTTTTGGTGCAACCTTCACCTACACCAATTGCTTTTTTTTTGGTACACGCTAAGACAACTGAGTTCAATTGTTGGACTTTGTTTTTGAAATTGATCGATTGATTAATTGATTAATTGATCGCTTGACCGATAGATCGATCGATTGATTGATTGATTGATTGATTGATTGATTGACCAATTGATTGATTGGTTGATTGATTGATTGATTGATTGATTAATCAGTTCATTCATTGATAGATGTATTCATTACGTGGTCGACTGCGTTGCGGAGCTTCGAAAGAGAGAGAGACAAAAAACACATTTAATGATCATAATTGTTTCTAGTTAAACCTTTCGATGTGTCTCTGCTCGGCCTATCACCCAGGACATATAATATACATTGAACAAAAAAATGACCAGGAGAGAAATTTGAGTCGTAACCTGCCCAGAGGGTTATTGAAGGAGGGCGAAAGAAAGCGTTGGATAGGTTCAAAACACATAATAAAGGCGATAGCGCCGTCTTCATAAAATTGGTGATGGAGCACCCCTCGATCGCTCTGCAAATGTTCAACAACAAAAGAAAACTAACAAAAAGGAAAAGCGGTCCAACTGATGTAGCCTAGTGGTTAGAACACCGATTGGAAATGCGCATTGTGGCATAAGGTTGCGGGTTCAAACCTCCGCAGCCTTGTGCGTGGACACCGGTAGGGTGTTAGAATGACGCACTGCTGGACACACACCCCCTGGGCTGACGCATGGTACTATTACAGACACTGCCTGCGTACCACTCAGGGGGTTAGTCCATGCTATTGGGTGTTGTATGTTGGTCTAGACTTCATGTTGGTTGCTTGCCGTTATTGGCTTTGGTTGCTCTGATGATCTCCCCCAGCCTAGATATTTCACACATTATATCCACTTCCTACAGTAGTGCATGTGGTAGAAACCTCCAGTCTCATACTGTAGGTCACAGGTTCGAGTCCGGTTCTGGATTTTGGGGGGGTCTTGTCCAGATAGACTTGTCTCTACCACATATTACACACACGTATGAGAGACACTACCCCAGATATTGACTACATGTTTAACCACGATAGGCACATCGGAGGGACAAGGTTGGGGGCTGGTGGAAGAACGGATGATTGCCCACCACCTACTGAATCTATAGTCTGTCCTTTCCGATCCCTATAGGAAAAACCTAGCTCATGACCGGAATTTGCTACTAGGTGGGAGACAGTTTACTACCGAGGATAGACAAAGCGAGGCATGGGTCCTTTGGGGGGGGAGGAACCCTAGCTGATTACTGGGTTCTAGAGGAGGGTTGTCTATTCGTTGGCAATCGATTAAGGGCGCATAGGGTCGCCCCTCCGCAACGTCGAGGCAAGGTGCTTCTAGGGGCCTATACATACTACCTACACATGGCTTACACAAGCACTGGTAGCAGTGGTAGGTGCACATCTCACTGGTATTCACTTCGCAGATGCTCCATGGTGGGGGGCAGCATCTGCTACTGGTCCACGCACATTACAAACATACACACAAAGCCTACAGCCACATACCTACAATACTGAACACA